CAGGGGGCCGGATTAAAAAGATTAAAGGGCCGCATATGGCCCCCGGGCCTTAGTTTGCCCACCCCTGGTCTAATGTCTACTGTTGTTTTTGTCATTTATTATTATTATTATTATAAAAAATATATATAATATATTTATAAATAGTAATAAATAAATAATATTTATAATAATATAATAATAATAAATAATAATAATAATAATAATAATAATAATAATAATAATAATAATAATAATAATAATAATAAACATATATCAAAATAAAATAAAAATACAATAAAATAAATATATAGGGATAAAAAATGAAACTTTTGCCAAAAAAAAAACCCTGGCAACATCTGAAATCTCTCTTGAAGACAGCTGTATATTTACACCAGCTCAAAAGTGAAATACCAAACGCTCACCAGGAAATAGGCACCAAAGGATTTCACATAAATTTGATCTAAAGTGTTTCAAAGCACTTTTGGTGAGGTGTCTGCCATATTTCCTGCGTATTACTGGTATCATCATGAAGCTAAAAGGAAACCCAACACTGGCCTCCCTCACATGTTTAAAGTGTTGTACAGAGAAAAGGTCAAGGCATCGATCCGAGCAGGCGTTTATGGGTAAAGCAAAATGTGACTCTGACTGCACGGGAACGAGGGACACGTCGTTAAAAAGCCGTAAAGGTGCAATGTGTAACTTTTCTGGCGGAGGGTTCGTCAAATGCTTTCTCTTTGTGGAAGTTACAGGTCAGATCTGTGGAGAGGCAACCCCGCTCACAGTCAGAATGTTTGTTTTCTAGGTATTTTTGAGCTATAAAACAACATGTGATTGAATAAATGTAAGGTCGATCTGATTGAGCACAAGAGGGACCAGAGGGGAAACTGTATTAATGCGTTAGTTTCACTTTCTTCTAATATAGTGAATCCTGTTTGTTGTTTAGATCAGTGGCCCCTAACATTTTTTTGGGCCACGGATTAGTTTTATGTCTGACAATGTTTCGCAAACCGGTGGGACTGTGGGCGCTCGTTTCAGGACAACATGTTCACGGACCGTCGGTGAATCGGAGCAGGCACGAATGAATGGAGCACGGGAGGAGACGTGGTCCACCCGGCATGATTCAGTCCTGGTTTAATCCTGGTTTTAGACCTGGTTTAGACCTGGTTTTGACCTGGTTAAATCCTGTTTTAGTCCTGGGTTAGTCCTGGTTTAGACCTGGTTTTAGACCTGGTTTAGACCTGATTTTAAGCCTGGTTTAGTCCTGGTTTAGACCTGGTGTAGACCTGGTTTAGACCTGGTTTTAGACCTGGTTTAGACCTGATTTTAAGCCTGGTTTAGTCCTGGTTTAGACCTGATTTCGAACTGATTTTAGTCCTGGTTCAGTCCTGGTTTAGACCTGATTTTAGTCCTGGTTTCGACCTGATTTTAGTCCTGGTTCAGTCCTAGTTTAGACCTGATTTTTAGTCCTGGTTTAGTCCTGGTTTATACAAGGTTTAGACTTGATTTTAGTTCTGGTTTTAGACCTGGTTTAGACCTGATTTAACCTGGTTTAGTCCTGGTTTAGACCTGGTTTTATTAACCTGTTTTAGTCCTGGTTAGATAGTCCTGTTTTAGACCTGTTTAGACCTGATTTAAAGCCTGGTTTAGTCCTGGTTTAGACCTCTTTTTAGTCCTGGACCTGGTTTAGACCTGATTTTAGTCCTGGTTTCTGTCCTCCTGTTAGTTCCTTAGCCTGGTTTTAACCTGGTTTAGACCTGTTTAGACCTGTTTAAGCCTGGTTTAGTCCTGGTTTAGACCTGGTTTTCTGGTTTTAGTCCTTGTTTTGTTTAGACCTGGTTTAGACCTGATTTTAAGCCTGGTTTAGTCCTGGTTTCGACTGATTTTAGTCCTGTTTAGACCTGGTTTGTTTCCTGATTTTAGTCCTGGTCAGTCCTAGTTTAGACCTGATTTTAGTCCTGGTTTAGTCCTGGTTTATACAAGGTTTAGACTTGATTTTAGTTCTGGTTTTAGACCTGGTTTAGACTTGGTTTAGATGTGATGTTAGTCCTGGTTTAGGTCTAATTTTAGTCCTGGTTTAGACCTGGTTTAAACCTGATTTTAGTCCTGGTTTAGTCCTGATTTTAGTCCTAGTTTAGTCCTAATTTAGACCTGATTTTAGTCCTGGTTTTAGCGCTGGTTTAGAGTCGCGAGAAACACGGGAGGAGGTGCAGCCCACATGGCCCAGAACCAGTCCATGGCCCAGGGGTTGAGGACCCCTGGTTTAGATCACGTTACCTGGAAAAGTGTTTCTTTATAAAGCACTTTGAGTGTCTTCAAGGTGGAAAAGCACTATATAAAATGTGACAATTATTATCTATCATCAAAAGTAAATTGCATTTATTTCATTCAGATTTGCCCACACCAAAAAAATAAAAAAATAAATTATTAATTAACAGCCAAGGTTTTATCACAATTCACACAGTTATTAT